AACTGTATCCTAACGAAGTACAAGGTCTATATAATCTATTTGTTTAAACAAGATAAGCTGTTATGACATTTTCAGTAACAAAAATTTCCCATAGCCTTACATTTACACTTATTGGTCATGCAATTAGTTTTACAGTTGCATCGCTTGTTACTTTGACCTCTTAAAAGAGATTTTTCGTTTGAAAATTGTCGTAAGCTTTCCTTCTACAGTGATACAATTCCCATATCTACAAGTTTCTCATTACACACAGAAAATTGGTTCCTTGATAGTTTCTCTCTTGTGTGCTAGCTTATAAAAGTCGTCGTCAGTTTTTTCGATTACTGTCATCAGAATATTTCTAAAATCACCCCTCCCTCTATCAATGTCTGGAATTTTCTCCAACAAAACATGGCGGAAACTTTGAATTAGACAAAGCTTTCATTTTATTTGCTTGATTTTCTAAATTTCGTTTTGCCTCTAGTCTGTTTGACCGTATGTTTTTTTTGGCACAAAGTTCACAACATATACGAGCCCCTTCCCGCTTCAGTTGTCCCACTTCAAGATTTGTACCAAAATATGCCTTTATAAACTAAACATGACGAAACTATTTACTTCTAAAACAATTTATTTTCTGAAAAGCATTTTAGATACACTCTAGTCGTAAAAAATACATATTTGAAATCACTTAGACCTATAACTAATAGAACATCTGAACAAATAAACAATGGGCGAATAAATGCGCGAAGTTAACAAAGCAACAATTGAAATATTACCATTGGGTAACACCTTTATTTTTTATTACTGCTGAAATTCTTTCGGGCATAGTGTTAACCAAGTTTTGGCAAAAATTTGGTGTAAAACAATCCCTTATTTCTTGAAGCTTTTGTCTCAGTTCGGTGATTGTACGAGCAGGATGTTGTCGTAGAACCTTTTTCATCTCGTGCCACAAAGTTTCAATAGGTGACAGATCTGGACTGCTAGAAACCCATTTCAAAAGTGATACATTATTTTCTTCCATCGATTGTATAGCCTTCTTTGAGGTATGGCACGCTGCACCATCTTGTTGAAACACAAAATCTTGGCCGGATGTCAAACATTCTTGCATCACTGGTAGAAGTGATTCTTCTAAAATTGAAAAATATTTGTTTGTATCCACATCTCCATCAATAAAATGAAGTCGTCCTACTCCTTTTGATGACATACTGCCCCAGACCATAATGACAGACAGTCAACATGGAATGCTTCATTTTTTTGCGAATAACTCTACTGCGACTGTCAGCAACACAAACTTCGAATCGGGCCTCATCACTCCATTGCATTGCACACCATTGTTGAGGTGTCCATTGTCTATGTTCTTTAGCCCATCTAAGCCGATTTTTCTTTTGCAGTGGATTTAATAGTGGCTTTTCTTTGGCCTATAAACAAGTTGTGCAACTTTAGGGTTTTTACTTCACTTTTTTTTATGAGAAAACTCACCTTGCTAGTGCTAAATCCCAGTTTGTGGGCCTCTCTATGAGTTGTGGACCTCGAAATTCTCTTGCCAACAGCGACACTCCACAGAACACTGAATTGTAAATAATTGGCACGCCTGTTTTTCACTATTATTCTTCTTAATGCTCTTCGGTCGGCATTTGTGATATTACTTTTTTCACATATCGTGGGTTAATATTAACTGAACCAGTTACGTTATATCTTCTAACAATATTTTTCACACTGTACCGCGACTAGTCTAACAAAGTTGCAATTTCCGAATTTGTTTTTCCAGAATTAAAAAATTTAATTATCAGTAACCGAATTTTCTCACTAATAACCTTTCCTCTACCCATTTTGAAAACCTTAACTACCCAAAACTATTTTAAACGTATTCTGACAGCTGTGATTAATAAAAACAATTGTCATGGCTTTTATTTTTCACAGCCCCCTATGCGGTTTAGACTTATTTTGCATTGAAATGAAAATAGGTTGATATGCTGTAATTGCAACATGTGATATTTTTATGCTGCAAATTTGATTAGGGAGTGATAAAGTTGGTCTTTTCTACTATATGTTAACAAAATATTCATTGTTAATATTTTAAACCTATAACACCCTGCTACATTTTTATTATTTGTGTTTGATAAGAAAAAACTAAGATTCCAATAGTTGGGCCAACTGAAGTGGGAAGGGGATCGTATTCCCTGATGTACTTGGTTTGTCACACTCTGAACATTTCCCCTGATTATCTGAAGTTTCCATATTACCAGCGCTTTCTCTATAATTATTGTTGATATTTTGCATATTTCAATCTTCAGTAATATTTTCTTGAATGTTATCTGTTTCTGGGTTACTGTCCATAGATTGGTCTTCATGTTGTTCTTCTTGAAGCTCTTCACCTACACCAAATTCCTCCACAACCTTCTCAAGCTCTCCTTCGGTTCGTAGATTTTCAATAGCTTCTTTTGGAAACGCTGATGTGGATAGGCTGACTTTAATATCAAACCCAAACGTGGCAGCATAAGGAGCATTGTTTTATCCAGACATGGTATGCCCTATTTTTCATTAATTGGACAAATCTTATACCTTCTGACCATCGTCTGCAGTTTTCATCATCCATTCACAACATAAGCATATTTTGTAACTCTTGATTTGCTCTTTCCACGCTGCCTTGTGACTGACTATGACGTGGTTTGCCATGGCCTATTTTAAGGCCACTCCAAATTGTACATAACTCTTCAATGACACGGTCGGCGAACTCAACGTCATTGTCCGAGTGTAGTATGGATGGGGCACCGAAAATACAAAAAAAAACTTTGTTAACTGGTACTGATACACCATGATAAAGATTCTCCATCTGGATGTGATTGCATGTCAATCAGGTCCACTTGACAGCGGCTGTTCATCTCCGAAAAAACGATCGGTTTAACCACTAGTCCTTTTTTGCCAGATTTAAGTTTTCTTTTGGCACCCTTCACACAAGCGCAGATATAACTTAATAACATCTTGAGTTATATTCTTGTACTTTTTCTTACATTCACTTTCCATACGATCTTTTCCACCATGTCTTACAGCTAAATGTGCATCGTGCAAAATGTCAAACATCTCGTCGTTTGTAACATAATAACGTATTTTACATTAGATTCACCTAATGATACACGAGCAATAAGCTTTTCAACGCCTTTCACAGAACATATGTCAAACCTCTTGTAACGGTTTCACCGTCCGATCGTATTTATTAAATCACTTCTCGATTATCATTTCATTAATCCCATCTCTAGCTTTTTTGCTTGGAAAATTTTCCGCTTGGAGCGCTTGATGCGGAGTTCCTGATCTGCGATCTTCCTCGCGCTTCCTTTTCACTTGAGCCGCCGATCGAACAACGGCTAGAAATTTCTTCTCAGTAGCACAAGGTTATATAGCACCATGTGCTAGAATTTTCTAGATTGTGTGTCCGTATAGGACAAAAATGATTGGGGCCACCCCCTTTCTCTTTCCCTTTCACTTTGCCTAGCCTTGGCCAATATTTTCACCCATGCATGTACCTTGGCAGCGCCATCGCCTTTAACTTCGCCTACAACTGGTTGTGAAGCCACTATATGGAGGTCACCCCTCATAACTGGGACCTCCCCTTCAAGCCCCTGGCCATCCTGGCTTCAGTCGAGTAAAAATGGACCAGCGAAAGATAAGTCGATAGCGTTATAGCAGCGCCAAAGATGTAAAACTTATTTTGTTATTTTTGTAAAATTGTAATGTAATGAAAATGCCTTTTTTTTGTTAAATAAAATCTGTTAAATTTTTGTGTTCTGTTTGTTCTTCTATCCTCTAGCCATGCCATGGTCGACACACAGCTACACGCCTGTAGATGTCTTCATGCCACCGACTGAGCTACCGGAAGCTAATTGTAACCCCCTTTCTGTGATTGTGCAGAAAAGTTGGAATCTTCATTGCATTCCATCTTTTCTGGACTTTTTGCGGAAAGGAAGCGTTACATAAATTGGCACCCCCAACGTGGGGCACGATAGGTGTTTGGCTTTGTCGACAAGTGGTTTGCTAGTGGAAGATTGGCAAACAGAACATAGTTTTCAAAATTCTTTACAATCTTTGGCAGCATTTCTATTTTTAATTGCTTTTGGTACTCAAATTTCTAATTCCTTAATCATCCTTACTTTTTGCTTAATGTTTAAAATTTTTATCAAAAGATTAAAATTTTTCCACCTGTTTATTTCATAGGCATACTATTAACTTTTAAATTGTCTTGTTTAGTAGTCAGCGAGATCATTGCCAGAATTTTTTTTTCTCACATACTACTACAGTTTTTATTTACTGCTGGGGACAGTTATAACTTTTTTCTCATTGTACTTTTGAGATTGATGATATTTTGATATTTTTTTGTTGTTGAATATTGATAGTCTGGGGACTTTAGGTTTCCCAGCATTTTTGTCGAATATCATCAAACTTTTGATTGAGGTTGTGACTATTGTTGTTGATAGTTTACATATTGTTACGAAAAATAATACATCGGGTCCAAGGACGGCAACGTCGGAAGACTAGATAATATATACAAAAAACTTGTATGGTACGAAAAAAAGCATGTAAACACAAAACGGACAGAATAAATCGAGCGTTGTTACCGGGCAGGTAGTTTTTATTGAGAGCTCCGAAAAACATCGTGTCGTGTGAGAAAAGACGTAATATTTCAGAAGGTGGGATAGAACTTACTGAATATTGATTAGTTGTGACGGGTTAATAAGTTATCGTGTTGCTAAGTACTGTGTATAGACTTAGTGCAAGATGAGTGACACTTCAAGTGAGGATGATAATGAACAATCTGGACTTTATGTGTGTGCTCCAACCAAAAACGGAAGATCGAGAAAACTGTTGACAAGCTTGTGGCGAAAAAAGTGAGTAAGATTTTGAGTCAACGTAATTTCATACAGAGCACTGATTCAAAATACACCGGGAAAGCAGATTTGATACCAGAGTTTGATCCGGAAAAATCAGAGATCACTGCCATAAATTGGTTACATAAGATTGAACAAATTGGAATGATTAATAGTTGGAGCGATGAACAAAAATCATTATGCATGCAGTCTCGCCTTACAGGATTGGCAAAAGTTTGGTATAACGGGCTAACAGACTACAACTTGAATTGGGACGAGTGGAAATTGGCCATTTCACGTGCCTTCCCTGCACATACAGACTACGTCAACTTGCTAAAAAAAATGTTGGCGCGAAGTAAGAGTAATGATGAGAGCATGATGCATTATTTTTATTCGAAGAACATGCTGGTAAAAAAATGTGGACTAGTGGGGACTAATGCAGTTTCTTGCATAATTGATGGATTACCCATACCACTGCAAGCTAACGCCAAAGCGGGGAACTATGAATCACCAGACGAGCTGTTCTACGGGTTCCTTAGCAAAGTAGAGAGTTTACGCGAATTATCTGACCGAGTCAGTCTACTTGCTTTTTAAAAAGATTTATTCTCGATTATCAAAAATACAATTTTATTGATGTATGTAGTATGAGCGCTAACAACAGACTGACTAACTCTGAATACAATAAAATAGGACTGGATAAGGCAAAGCGCTGATCCAGGGAAACTCGATCCTCTTCTTTAGTGGTAGGGGTAAATCTTCTGTACTATAACGCCTCCCCTTGTAGATGCAACTTCGAGGGTTAACGAGGAAGTTGCACATTGGAAAGATCAACTTCTTCAATCGGGGTTCTTTGTGGTTTCTTCGGCTTAGTAAAAATCTTCGGAATGATCTTCTTGTAGACAAAACAGCAAAGTAGCAGCAGCAGTACTCCATACAACAGGTTTGTCCAAGAACTGGGAATGTGCGACACCTTATGTGAATGGATGTCAACACGATTTTCTATTAATCTTCTTTTTACTTTGTGAACTTCATCAAATTCTATTTGGTCTAGATGAAGGCTGAAGTCACTCGGCTTGGTAGCAATTGAAGTATTGCTATCTATGTTTGGAAAAATAATAGGCTGACTTCCAATCGATATAGGCTCTTGATTGGCAATCAGGTCTTGATTTAGTTCCAGTGTACAACCGACTGGAATTTCGGCTAAGTAGGATCCCAAAACTTTGACTGTTTCTTGGCCTTCTTCACAGCTTAATGTAATGGTGGTTTCATTGGGTATAAGCAAGATCCATTGTCCGAAATCATGCAGTTTCTTCATTACTGGCTCTGTGATTACGGCTTCTACTTCTCGGCAGGTAGTGGGAGTTTTTTGTACCAGGAGTTGAACTTCACAGGGATTGGATTCTTTGATTCTTCTCAAATCTAGTTCTTTGCAAACGTACTGTTTTGCGACCGTTTCAGTGCATGCGTCTCCCGCAAAAGCGAAGTACAACTCATTCTTTACAAGATATTTTCCAGAAGGGATGACTACTTTGAACAGACCCTTATGAAAGGTTGGAATTGAATATAAGTGATAATAATCAAATTGGAATGTATGAACAATTGGAATTTGAAGAATGTATGTTATTTTTCTATCAACTGTATAACAGCTGATTTTAATGAGCTTTTCAAAAATCGGGATATTATCCAAAGTAACTTCTAAAGGGAGTTGCTTTGTGGATAGTTTTAATGCCACTGAATTTAGTGCTTGAAGTAAATGTTTTGGTTTGATTACACTGGGGTGCATAATTCCCAATTTTGCAAAAGTAAGTGAGTTTTCTATATCCTGGAGCACTGAAATTATGATATGATAGATATTCATGATCTCTGAGATTGTATCTCTCAAGAAAATGCCATTTTCTATGTAGGCTTGTGTGTTAATCATAGCTGTTGAAAGCTGATTTATTTTAGCTTCCAATAGCTTTTGGTTATGAGTAATCTGACTTACAGTTTTATTGAAATTATCGATAAGTTCGACAGATAAGGTATTCTGACTATTGATAGCTTCTGATAACTTGTTTTGATCATTCTGCAAATCGCTTATTAGAGACTCGAATTTTTCACCATCTGAAGCATCCAGGTTTCCTGTGATTGCTTTGAAAATTGAACCTAAGCCGTTTATTAATCCCCTTTTTATTCTAACAGAGAATGATGGAACAGTTTCGTAAGTAGAGGGAAAAATGTCATTTAGTTTTCCGTCTACTTTTCTTTCTAAGAAATACAAAACATTGAGGTAATTTGCTGAGTGTTTATAGTGCTCAATATATTTCCTGGATAATGTCGCAACATTTTCAGTTTTTTTTCTTAAGGTCATTAACTTCAGTGATTATTAAATTGACGTCGTAAAAATACAGTATTGAGTGACAATTTTTTGTAATTTTGGCGGTCCCTAATTTCATGGGTATCAACCCTAGGTTATTTTCTAAATTCTTCAACGTTATCGTACCATGGATTCCTATGATTCCTGGGAACCGGTAAAATAATATATTCGAAAGAAAATCTTATTTTTAGCGTGCAATTAAGAGTAAAGTAAACGTAGATTACATACATAGTTTCTTATCTAATTGCTCGAGGCTTAGTCAAACGAATAAAGTTTGCGTAGCGGACGTTTCAAATTACTTATATGCACTTTTCCGTGCTGGTCCGTCGCGACGGTCTTTTTCTCCGTATTAACACTTTGTAGTCTACACGGCTTTGAGAATTTGTTGGCGTGCTTTTTTCTAACATGCTTTTTGACGTATACTGTTTCTCGGTTATCAAGTATAGTCGGACTATCGCAATCTCTGTTAATGCGTTCTAGCGTCTTTTCTTTGTTTTGAATGAGATCAGAATTTATTTTTGAATACAATAATTTTGTACGCTCTTTGTGGCTGTTGGTATAGTCATTGAGGAGTAATTGGTCGATTTTGATATCGAATGGTTCATTCGACGTAATATGTCCATTGATTATATCTATAGGCTTTAATTTTGTTACAGAATGTAAGGTGTGGTTGTAGGCTAAAACGGCATACAACATTTTCATTTTTATAGGGGTTTTCTGAAAGCCTTCTGTGTTCAACAATCTTAAATGTTCGGTGATAGTTGAATGAAATCGTTCAACGACTCCATTAGAATCTGGATGATTTGGCGAAATAAAATGAAGCTTAATTTTGTGAAGTGACAAAAGTTCAGTTACAACGGTATTTTTGAATTCAGTACCATTATCTGCGATAATTCGGGTAGGAATTCCATGATGAGAAAAGAATAATATCAGATTATCAGCAATTTCAGTTCCTGAAAGCGAAGTAATCTGATATGCTTGAGCATATTTAGAAAAACTGTCTATAATTGTGAGAAATTTTGAACCTTCAAAAGTGAAAGTATCGATATGTACGATTTCAAAAGGTTTTGATGCAGTGGGGGTGAGATTCATCGCAATTTTTATCGGATGACGCTCATATTTACATTGTTGACAAATTTCACATTCATTTATAAATGTTTGGATTGATTTTTTCAAATTAGGCCAAAAATATTTTTCTTTTATTCTCTGATGCGTTTCCTCAATTCCACGATGATTCGACTTACTTTCGTGGTAATTCCGGATAATGTCCTTGATATCAGTTTTATCTGTAACGTCGACTAATTTGGTTCTACACATTTTGAATTTCAAAGCATCGGACTTAAACATCCTTTGTAGAACAACAGAAAATTTTTCATATATATCTGGATTTTCAAAGTATAAGTGATAAATGACGTTAGGAGCAATATAATCTCGAATAAATTTAAATACATCATCGTCAAAATCATTTTCTGAAAATTGTACGTTAATTCGTTGCTTGCTTTCAAATAAAATAGAAATTTTTGGTGGTGCAGGTGAATGTTTTACTGTACTTATGATAATCTGATTATTTCCCTGATTAACTGCGTAATCAACTATAGGAATTGTCTGAATGGGGTGTTGGTCCGCATTTGAATGTACAGTTTCGTCTGGATTTTCAGGACGATTATTTTGATATTCTAGATTGACTTGTTCATGTTCAATGATATCTACAATTTCGTCCAGGGGTTGAATAAAAAGACTGTCTTCGTCATTATCGACGTTTACGAACATAGATTCGGTATCAGGTTGTTTTGGGGTAGAAAAGTTAAATGTAGGTGTACTTAATACAGATGAGCCTTTCTGAACTGGTCGGTCAAACTTAACGTTTTGGTGTTGAGTACCTGCGCATTCTTGAATCAAATCATCTAAGTCGTTCCAAAATGAACTGGTTTCTTTTGTATGGATCTCTACACGAGATAGGGCATCTGCATTTGTATTCAGTTTGCCTTTCTTATAGATGATATTCATATCATACTCGTCTAACCTGATTTTCCATCTTAGTAATTTTGAAGAAGGGTCTCGAAGGGACCATAAGTATTTTAAGGGCATATGATCAGTAATTAGATTGAATTTTCTCCCGTAAAGATAGGGTCTAAAGTATTTAGTCGCCCAGACTATTGCTAGTAATTCTTTCTCAATCGTACTATAATTTCGTTCGGAATCATTAAGCGTGCGCGAAGCATAGGCGATAGGAAGATCCTGTCCTATAGGGCCTTGTGAAAGTACACAACCAAGGGCTACGTTGCTCGCATCCGTGGTTAAGTTAAATGGCTTAGAAAAGTCTGGATACTTGAGTATCGGTTCATTGATAAGAACATTTTTACATTTTTCGAAACAGTCAATAAACTCTGCATCGTGTTCAATTTTGGCTCCCTTTTTTAGACATTTAGTTAGAGGCTTTGTGAGTTTCGCAAAATCTTTAATAAAACGTCTATAGTAACCAATAAGTCCGAGAAAGCTTTTAATCTGCTTAGTCGTTTTTGGAATCGGAAATTTTTGGATGGCAATAATTTTATCTGGATTTGGCTTAACGCCGTCTGGTGTGACTACATGTCCGAGATAAGCTACTTCTTTACGAAGGAATTCTGATTTATCGAGCTGTATTTTAAATTTTGAAGTTCTGAGTCGTTGGAAAACTGACCTTAAATTTTCAATATGTTCTTGAAGGGATGTAGAAAAAATTATAATGTCGTCGAGATATACGAGACATTTCTCGTTTTGTATCCCCCTTAAAATATTATCCATGACGCGTTGGAATGTGGCGGGTGCGTTTTTTAGGCCAAAAGGCATCCGGAGAAACTCCCAATGCCCATTTTCGGTACTAAATGCGGTTTTTTCTATGTCTGTTTCCTCCATCTCGATTTGATGGAAACCACTCGCTAAGTCAAGGGTAGTAAAATACTGGCATCTGCCAAGTTTGTCTAGCAAGTCGTTGATATTGGGTAAGGGATATTTATCGTCAATAGTCTGTTCATTTAAACTTCGGTAGTCAATTACAACTCTCCATTTTTGCTTCCCCGAAGCGTCTAGCTTCTTTGGAATGACCCAGATAGGTGAATTATAACCTGAGCTACTTGGACGTATTATATTGGAATCCAACATTTTCTGTATTTGGCTATTTACTTCGCCTCTGTGAACAAATGGATAGCGATACGATTTTGTGTAAATGGGCCTTTCGTTTTTGGTTTTTATTTGATGT